AATTAGACAAGTGTAACATGAACGAGCATTGCAATTTTTAAGCGGATTTGATGCTTCTAACAGGGTCAGAGGACAGTACGAGATCCTTATACATCCTTCGATCACTTGTTACTCTTTAGATCAGCTCGAAAGTTGCCTTCGTTTGGAGGACAGGGGGAGATCAGGTGGAGAATACTCTCCCCCTCTCGAAAAGTGAGGGGGAGAATTCTCCCCCCGTCCTCGACCGGGGGAGACATTCTCCCCCACAGTCGTCAGGTGGGGGAGACTGTTCTCCGCCCCTCATGTGGGGGAGACTTCTCCCCCACCAGAGGAGAATATAGTCTCCCCCCCCGGGGGGGAGAGAGGGGGGGGAGAAGGGGGGGAGACTGCCAATCCTCCCTGTGTTTGTGCTACCCTTTGTTTGGAACAACTTGAAGCAGATCATGCAGCGAGACGGACCTTCTGAACATCACGAAGTCTGTTACAAACCCAGGCCCAATACAGTAGGCACGTAAACGTCCGCTGAGAAGGCTGATGCTGAATAGCATACTGTAGTCACGTCTGAAGCTGGATTGAGAAATCTGATTTGCACAGGGTAGGTAAAGATGAAGCAGGTTGGCCCTCCGTCGCTGACTTACGTGCAAGCTGCTGACTTGAACACGTTATTCAACTAGGCATGGCAGCTTTGAAGTCCCACAACGCGAGCGAGCAGGGTGTACACCAAGCACCTAATGCATACTATACGTCATGCTCCGTGGTCTTTTCCATGATTTCTGAAAGTTCGCCAAGGGGCAGACAAGCATGATATCGTAGTATAAGTCCTGATATGCGGATGTGTGTCATGCAAACGTGAGATTATGCAGAAGTTACTAACGGCCGCGATCGAGAGTTCAACTGGTTGCCCTGAGCGAGGTTTGTCGCTGATGACTGTCCGCAGCGGCTTATGCCAATGATCGATCATAAGCTTGGCGTCATGCAATACAATTATTCAAGTAGCTGCTGATTCAGGCGCCTTAAGAAGAGAGCCTACGGGCAGTTCGATTAAGTGAACCCACATGAGCTGCAAAACTAAGAATAGCTCATGGCGGCTGGGGGCCGCGCACCGGAAAGGTGTGCAAACGATATTAATCCGGCTCCGAGAGCCGTGGATAACACGCGAAGAATTTTCAAATGGTAGAAGGCCATGGCCGAGTCGATCACGCAGTCCGTCCGACTCGCCTTCTGAATGCTCTTTGGAATCGGCTTCGATCATATGCTGTTCGCCGTCACATGGCATCATATTGAGACGTGATCGGAAAACCTCACCCGGGACGGTGGTAAAGGACACAATTAAACACAAGCAAAGCTCAACAAGAGCTCTGCGGTTTTGAAAAACTAGCGAAGGTCTTTTTGAGCTAGTGTGAAATGTGACGATCGGTCGCCAAACAATATAAGATATACTCATCTTAGCAAGCTTCAGTCTCGTTCGATTTGCTGCCATAAAGGTCTGCATCTTCAACCACGAAGCCTACACAAACTTTGCTTTATGTGGCCTCAACCATATCAATACATAGTATACCCGACCTTATCAGATTTGACCTTTAGCTTGGCATTATGTGCTTGTTTCAAGCTACACTTTCCACCCTCTTGACTGCGCGGCGCGGGATCAATTTAAGAATTTTATAATCTCTCTTCACCTGGGTAATACGCGTTGACATATTGGTTCTTGGAAATATAAATAACTCTAGCTATATCTCAACCGCAAAGACCGATCATTCATTGTGCCTCTGGCGTGCGTGTAGTTGGTCGCCGCAACTCGCACTTCGTTAGGATGCTGCCGCATGTGATTCTTTCTTCAATGTTTGAAGCGTTTCGAAGGTGTAAGCACTAACGCAGAGCTATTTCTGTGTCAGGCAAGCTTCGCGTTGCCCGAATCTGCAGCAGAGGAAGATGGTGCTGGCTTATTTACAAGAACCTTGAGTGCGCTCAAAAGCCATAAGGAGATTCGACTTGCTATGCCCCGGCCTGGGTTGAGACCGGAACGTCACGAGGTAATTCTGCAACGGGCGGCAGAAGGAATGATCGTCCGCTGTTTGGCGCAAGCACACGACCTGGATATTACTGAAGTAAACAGAAGGCGAGTCCGACGGCAAAAAAGATGAACAGTTGACAACGTTAACGACGGAGTCAAAACGAAGTCGCAAGACAAAGGAAAACTCTAAGTCCGTCTTACTGGACCCACGAAGACAATAAGCAGGGTGGAGACAAACGCAGGCGAGTGTCCCACCTACCAGCCGCAGCACGCGGCCGCGCGCGCGCGCGCGCGCCTAACCGCAGGGAGCCACGTTGGTGATGAGCTTGGTGTAGTGCTGGGCGATGTTGGGGTTGTTGAGGAAGCAGACGGTGCCGCCGCCGCGGTTCGCCTGGGACGCCTGCCGGTTCATGTCGCCGATGCACACCGTCTGGGTGCCCTGTGAACGGCGACATGGAACCGATTTTAATTTATGGGTCCATGAAAGCTGATATGAAAGATTCAGAAGCTGTGAAGATCAATGGCCAGATCATGTCGCCGATGCGCACCTTCTGGCTGCACTGCAGAGATTAGCCGGCTCAAGCTTCAGTTTAGGAGACATGAAGAGCTCCACAAAGTCCCTACAATAGTGAGGTAGATGCAAACTGACCCTGACGATGCTTTGGAGTTTTTCCGGATCACAATCCAGTTGAAGCAGTTGAAGAACTTGAGAATCTGATTTAGGTTCGGAGTCAGCACTTGACCCAGGGAGTCGCTTCGGGTGCAGAATTTCACAGCAACTAGGAACGGTCGCTGATTCAGAAAGCGGACTTTAAGCGCGGAGGGTTGGACGAAACTTCCGTCGCACAGAAGTAAGGTATCTGAGTCTTGAGACGCGCTTTTCCAACCGCCCTGACAGGTTTGGTCATCGAGCACGCTGGAAGAGGTGACGCGTCCCGCTAGCAAATCGCAGCGGAGAAATCACTGGCAAAACTTGACTGCCGTGCAGAACGGTTGTACGAAAGCATGCGAACGGTTGTACAACAGGAAAAGAGAGAGCCTGCTCTACAAAGGGACGCGGACTTACGGAAGGGTACGGGACGCCCCATTTGGAGTGGTCGGCTGCAGAAACGAAAGGAGCATTGGTTAAATTTGCGGCGAGTTGGCTGGAATTAAGCGCCAGCGGTAGAGGATCCAGGCAGCAAAGCTCTTCTTGAAGAATTGTGACGGGAGTGTGTAAATCGCTGTTGACTAAGACTGCACGAGATGACAGACTTTTCAAAGACTCGACAGATTCAGAACGGGGTCCATTCAGCTGCAATGAAATCGAAAATAGTAGATTGGGATTGAGGATCGCACTGCCCAGCTTTCTGGTTTTGCAAAGGAGTCCGTACAACATTGAAGCAGATCCAGAAGAGCAACTTTCCACGTACGGTCAACCACTTCGTGACCACCGGCTCTGGATGTTGGATGACGGCTTCCGCCAATCAATGCATCATATGATGAGTTTGTAATAAGATCTGATCCGTGTCGAACTCCTCTGAAAAGCTGACCAGTCAACTCATACTTCAGCTTTGCCGCTCTACAACGAACACCACGACCTAAGATTGACGACGAGCTGAGAGAGTTATCACCGCACGTGCGAGAGACCGGGGCTTTCTCATCACCGCCCACTTCACACGTGATGGCCAGTGCCCCGCAAATCAAAGACCCGCGCTGAAGTAACTTTAGCACGTGCGAG